GCGCGCCCGGCCCCGCGCCCGTGCCGCGGGGGAGCACGCAGCGAGGAGAGCTGCGGTGCGTGCGTGCGTTCTTTTTCATGTTTTCTTTCTCTTTCTCTCTCTTTTCCTTTCTTCAACTCCTGGGCTTCGGTGACCCGCGAGGCTGCGGGGCTCGGGGTTCATCTCACCTTTTCTTGGTCGGGTCCCGGGTCGCGACGCGGTGGGTGCGTGCGTGTGCGCACAGGTGCGGGGAGGGGCGCGGGGGGCGGCCGCACTCCAGCGAACGGGACCCATGAATGCATGAATTCATGAGCGCGTTGACGGGATTATTACACTCTGTACATGCCACGGCCGATAAACACCTTTCTGGAAGCAACCTGCGATCGGCCCCGGGGCCCTCGGGGCTGGCCACGGCTGAGGGTCTCGTTGGAAGGAGCAGGATCTTCCGCGCAGGTACAGCAGACAGCCCGGCCCCAAGTGCGGAGGGGACCGGCGGGATCTCTATGGAAAGAAGTGAATTGCGGTTTGGGGGGACACCCAGACTTTCAACGATTTAAGTCCTGTATAAAGCGTTAGCCTCCCCTCTGTTTCTACGAAGTGGTTTGGAGAACACGAGCTATGAAGATGATGATGTGTTGTTGATTATTGATTTTCAGTTGCGAAGTAGGTTAGGCATCCTTGATCCCAAGTACTTGAAACAGCCAACACGGAAAGCGAAGGTCTTGAAGGATGGAGGGAAGGACCACGGGACGAGCAATGCGTTCAACTCTTCAGGAGTAAATGACCTGCGAGTCAGCTGCACCGTGAAACATCTTCTTCATTGTCATAATTTAGGTGCTTATTTGGAGGGTGGAAAGGTTGTTAATGAATACAATCAACACTTAATCTTGCACCAAGATATAAAAGTAACAGCACACAAAAATGGAGTTCTTGAGCATCAGTAACAAGTTGACTAACTCTACTCCGTCCTGCTTTGCAAGTTTTGAAAAGCTGGTGTCACTCATTCCCCCTCAGTGAGAATATAGCAGTAATGAAAGGTTTAGACGTCTCTGTAGGGTCTTTATGAAACAAATACCTATTAATCATTTCATCTTTTCTTTCCATCTCTGACTTTCCTTCTAAATTCCTTGTTTCTTTTTAGCCACTAGGAGAATGCAGTTGAAAAAAATTTTTTTGTCAAGATGCCTGATTTATACAGGGCATGTTTCACAGGGTAGAATTGTTCAAATGTTAAAACAATATTCACAACCACCAAGCTCATGATGTTTATTACACAAATGACTTACAATCTAGCATAAAACTGGGCGTTAATATTTTGATAGAATGAGTTGATACCTAATCCTAGGTAATGTAGTGTCAGAAGGGGAACCATAGATATATCTGAGCTTAAGTTTTGAAATGCTATTTGAAGAGAGACAAATAAACAAAAGTGGTGTGAGTGTGTGAGCATACAAGTTAGGAAATTCACAAGGACTGTTTCCACAATAGCTGTCACTTTACTCTCTTGATCATATGCAAATATTTCTTTTACAGGATGTTTATTCATTTTTGTCTAAATATATTTATGTGTTAGGCCCAAGTGATGGGTACATTCCAGGTCACACAAAAGTTTTAATCACAGTACTTTCTGATGTGACAAAAAAACAAACCTGAATTTTCCTACTATAGGTACAGTTAGCCCAACTTCTCTTGAAAAAGACACAGGATTAAGTATGGTTATGTGTAGAACATGTATTCTTTGACAAGCCATTGGAATACAGAAGTATGATCTTTAAAAGATCTGTTTATTCAGATGTGGCCTTTCTTAGCTGTACTCACAAAATCAATGTATTTTATATTGTAAGAATAACTGTATATTTACATATTCTTGGAAAGTGTGAAGAACATTATTTAAATTTTTACTTGGATCACTGAAAACAACACAGGTACTTTCATTAAACTTAAAGAAAATCCTACAGACTCAAAGTCAGTAATCTAAACTTGACCTCAGAGACTTTATAAAGAACAATAATGTGCAGCTAAAAGTAACAATGTCCAAACATCTTTATGATATAACACATCTTGCTTCTAAATGCAAATATTAAAGCACAATGTGCTAATCTTTTGAGATTCTAAAAGTTACTTCAAGAACTAGAAGTATCATTAAATGTATCCCTTTAGACAGTGTTAAAAGAGTTTCAAAATACATTGTATCCTTTGAGCTGCATTGGGTCTTTTCTCTCTCTCTCTTTTTAAAGAAAGCAACTTAATACTGGCCCCTGCTTTGTGATTACAATTAAAATAGATTGGGGATGATTATAGAATCTCTGTGAACAGTTTTTCCCATAGGCCTTCTTAATGCTACATTTGTTACTTTTATGAATTTACAGTCTTTTCCTTTTTAGAGTTCATAAATAGTTTTGTGCAAAGAAAGCTAAAAGAAGGCATTACTTTTGATTGAATTTATTAATCATCTAAAAGGAGAAAAAGATCCCAATATGCTAAGTGTCAGTAAGACATCTAAAGTTTGCCACTGTCTACAATAGAGGATATCTTTTATTCTTTCCCATCAAACACCTGCCATTTTCTAGAAAGTTTAAACACATTTCAAAGCTACTTGTACAGAAGAAAACATCCTCTATAGTCTCTACTATTGGTTTTTTAATGCTTAGTAATATTAAAACTTTGAGATATTAATTGATAAAGATAAAATTTAGTGTTTCTGTAAGTTTGTTTAAGCACATCTGGAGAGTTAGAAGGAATATTAACTGCACTATAATGTCCTTTAAGAGTGTAGGTTAAAAAGCATTCTGTGAAGTTTATAAAACATCTACATGTATCTTATTAATATCTTAGTGAGGTGTAAAGTTGGGTTAGAATATGGATGGTCAGATTTTTGCTCACACGTGGTCAGAGTTCACTGGTTTCATTTGCATCTTCTGTGATCTACATGGTCAATTACTACATTTGTTATTTAAGAGGGGACAACAAAGCTATTATTTTCAAGTTAAACATATAACCAAAATAATTTCTAAAGTTATTACTACAATAATGAATTTGGGCAAACAGAACCTTTTTTCTCACATAGTATAGTGTCTATAGTGGATTTAAGAATAAAACTGAAATTCTTTTCAATAGATGTTGTGTCTTAATATGTGAGGAAAAGGGAAATGTTGGTTACATTAAAGAAACTGGAACCATGGGAATAAAAATCAGTGATACTATGTTCTCTAAAACACATACCCCCAAAAATGAGCTTTTAGTTTGCATGAGTATTTTGTATTTTTCCCCCAAAACTTTGCTTTCCAGACATTAGGATTAAGTATTGAATAGTTAAATTTGTTTAAAGTTGTCATCATTATAAATTATTTAAAGGTTTTATTCTTCATATAGTTCTATCAGGGAAATATAAACTATGTAACAGAACTATAAGAAAAATAAAAATGTTTAAATATACATTTTAAAGGTTAAATGATCATACTACTAATAAATTAAGTTTTTATTAATAAATAAGAATTTTCTTGAAGGATGTTCATTTTGCTAACCTTTAAAAATGATAAAATTAGCAAGAATACTCTTGCATTTCTGAAGTAAATTTCTGGAACTCTCATCTTTGGTACCATGCCACAATTGTCTCAGCTAGAGGAATAATAAGATGACCATGAAATTATAGGAACATACATACACATCAAGTCATATCTTTGTATCTAACCAATCTATAGTTTTAGAAAGATTTGTGTATATCAAAAAAGTATGTCTTCACTTTATACCTGCAATGTAGCACTGAAAATTACTTGAAGAAGTTTAATCCTTTACTTTTTTAAATCAAAGTAATTATTGTTACATGAGAATATTTGAGTTGTGAAGTCTACACCAAAAAAGTCAGGAATTGCTATGCAAAAAGGCAATGAAAATAAACAAACACAATTTGGCAAAAGATGAATGCAGTATGTATTTAAGGTGAAGGAATTAGTAAGAAATGAGAAAGAAAACAATTGTATACAAACATTCGATGGAAAAAGAACAGGTTAGATTATGTATCTTGGAAGTTTTATACATGGACAAATATGAAACATGAATTTGCCCTTAAATTTAATGATCTAGTGTTTGCCATTTACTTATCATTTGTCCATATCATAATAAATGTGTTTAATCTGGAAATCATTTTTGTCTATCTCATCAGTGATTTGATGTGAAAATCAGGAGCTGGCCTATAAGCTAGCAGATTCTGAGATTCAGATCTGATCTAAAATCTCAGATCTACCTAAAATCTCAGAATCAGACTGAGATTTTAGGTAATACAGTTAGCCCTTCAAAAGCAAGTTTAAGTTTTTGTCTATTTAAATTGCAAATTTTAACATTTGACTTTCCAACACTATGGATCTGATATTGGCCAAAAGGACCCATAGCTTAGCTATAAAAGAATAAAGCAAAGCACAGACAAAGTTGAAACAAGTTTACTTTGAGAAAACGATCTAATTCTTTCTGATGTGTAGAGACTGTCCTTTACACTGTTGATATGTTAAAGAGAAAGAAAATAAAGAAGAGTGAGGGGAAATAAGGAAGGAAGAAGAAAAAGAACACGAAAGGTAGAAAAAAGGCAGGCTGATTTTCACAAAAAGTTTACTTATTGTTGATTTTCCTCTAACACATTCATTGTAGGCAGATTCTCACTGTTAAACTGAATTCAATTGAGCTTCACAGTAACACTCTAGACAGGCCTGGAAGATTGTCAGGTTCTGGATTTAATCAGTTTCAAGGGATCCTGCTTTTAGACTACAACAGCAGAGAACATTTAACGGATTCCCTTCCTTCTTTGCTTCTGGATTTGGAATGCATTCTCACACTGTATTTTCTTATGTTTTAAAAAGTGTAGATTGAGGTGGATACACGAATTCCAGCAAAGAGCTGAGCAAATGGGCCTGCAGCTTTGGGATATTATTATTGACAGAGGTAACTTGTTTAAGTTTGTATTTTGAGAGCATGCTTTTTGCATATTAAATTGGAAAATCTTAACTAATATATAATCATCTATGCTTAAGGGGATTAAATTTTATGAACGAAAAGAGAAGAACAAAAAAGGAGTGTTTTGAAGGTTAATACTCTGGTCACCAAAATCTGTCCATGCTTGTGAACTGTAAGGCTTATAATGACACTCATTTATCAAATGAAGCATTCCAGAATGAAAGTTGCGTGTATAAAGGATTATCTGAGCTAAATACAAATGTATCTTGAACTCATTTGAAACACTGAAACACTGAAACCACATTCATATTCTATAAGAGGCTGGGAATGTAGCTCAGTAGTATAACGCTGGGCTAGGATATGCAA